CTCTTGCTCTTTGCCCCACCCCCCAGTATCCTTCCCCTTTCCCAATAATTCGTTTTCTACTTCAATTCATCTCCTTCCCACTTTTTACCCTTTGAAAAAACACTAAGGAATGGTCTATTTGGATTTTTTTTGGTGGTGGTGGTGGGGAGGGGGGAACTAGGGATTGAAGCCAGGGGTACTTAGCCATTGACATTCCCTGTCTATTTATTTTTACTTTGAGACAGGGTCTCACTCAGTTACTAGGGCCTTGCTTAGTTGCTGAGGCTAGCCTTGAACTTTTGGTGCTCCTACTTCAGCCTCCCAAACTCCTGGGATTACAGGTATGCACCTATATGCCCAGCTCTAGTTGAATTTTATGGTAAATCTATTTTTAGTTTTTTGAAGAATCTGTAAACGGTTTTCCATACCAGCTATACTAATTTACATTTTCCTCAACAGTTTATACAGATGCATATTTTTTCCACATTTCAACTAGCATTTGTTATTTTTTGCTTTTGCTTTGGTTTGTTTATTTATATGACAAGAGCCATTCTGAATAGGGTGACAGGAATCTCCATGTAGTTTTTTGTGATTTATTAAGGCTAAAGATATTATTTTTACATATATTTGTTGTCTTGTATTTGTATTCTTTTGAGAAATGTCTGTTCAGATCATTGGTCCAGTTACTGATTGGAATATTTGTTCTTTCTGAAGATTAATTCTCTGTCAAATGAATAGCTGGCAAAGATTTTTCCCCATTCTATAGATTTTCTCTTCACTCTCTTGGTGGTTTCCTTTGCTGTGCAGCAGTTTTGATTTATTGTAATCCTATTTGTCAATTGTTGCTTTTGTTTCCTGAGATATCAGAGTACTATTCAGGAAATCATTGCCTGTTCCAGTATTTTGAAGTGTTTCCTATATGTTTTCTTCCAGTAGTTTCAAAGTTTTATGTCTTAAATTAAGATTTTGATCCATTTTGAGTTGATTTTTCTTCAGGGTGATTGAAATCTAGTTTCAGTCATCTGCATGTGGATATCCAGTTGTCTTAGTACCATTTGTTGAAAAGGCTTTTCTCCAGTATATGACTTTTGGCACTTTATTGAGATCAGCTGTCTGAAGATACATGGGTTTATTTCTGGGTCCTCAATTCATTTATGTATATATATATATATATATATATATATAGAGAGAGAGAGAGAGAGAGAGAGAGAGAGAGAGAGAAATTGTAATGAAAATTGTATTATCTGTAAATAGGGAGATATAACTTATTTATGTTTATATTCTCTTTTTTAATATTTATTTTTTTAGTTGTAGTTGGACAAAGTACCTTTATTTTAATATGGTAGTGAGGATCGAACCCAGGGCCTCACATGTGCTAGGCAATACTTTGCTGCTAAGCCATAACTCCAGCCCCTTTATATTCTTTTTTGTTGTATCCATGTATATCTGTTTTTTGTCTATACCATGTTTTTTTAATTAAAATAGCTCTGTAATATACTTTATTTATTTGCTTGTTTAGTCATTTGTTTATTTTTTGCATTACAATTCTTAATACACCTTTATACCACAATTTATCATATATCATATCTTTGATTGTATATAAGATATGTTGACACCAAATTTCACATCTTCATATTTTGTATACTGATGAGGGTCTCTATAGTATATTTTAAAATAAAGGATTACAATGCCTACATCCTTAGTCCTTTTGCTCAGAATGATTTTGATTATTTGTGGTCTTTGTTCATTTTAGATGAATTTTAGGATTTTTTTTCTATTTCTGTGAAGAACTGTGAAAGATGTCATTGGTATTTTGATTGTGATTGCATTGAATCCATAGATCACTTTCAGTTGTCTTAACAATATTAATTCTTCCAATCTATGGACATGGAAGATCTTTACATCTTCTACTCTCTAATCTCTTTCTTCACTACTTTCCAATTTTCACTTAGCAATCTTTCGCCTCCTTGTTCAAGAAACACTGATTTCTTTCTCAGTCCATTTATTACTGATATATAGAAAAGCTATTGATTTTTGTATATTGATATTGTATCCCTACTACTTTGCTGAATTTATTTATCAGTTTTGAGTCCTTTGGTGGAATCTTTAGGATTTTCTCAGAATATAATTGTATTATTTGCTAATAGGGATAATTCAACTTCCTCCTCTCATATTTATATCACTTTATATAATTTTTCTTACCTAATTGCTCTGGCTAAAATTTCAAGCAATGTACTGAATGAAAAGGTTGAGAATAGATACTCTATTTCCTGATTTTAGAGGAAATGCTTTCAGTTTTTCCCCATTCAGAATGATGATAGAAATAGGTTTATCATATTTAGCTTTTATTATAATAAGGTATCTTCTTTCTATATCTAATTATTCAGAACTTAATCATGAAGGACTGTTGAATTTTACCAAGGACTTTTTCTGCATCTGTTGAGATGATCATGTGATGTTTATTCTTGATTCTATTTATGTGCTGTATGCTGTATTACATTTATTGATTCATATATATTGAGCCATCATTGCATCCTAGGAATGAAACCAACTTGATCATGATATATGCTCTTTTTAATGTGCTGTTGAATTCAATTTGAAAGTATTTTGTTGAGGATATATATCATCTATGTTCATCAGGGACATTGGTCTATAGTTTTTTGTTGTTGTATCCTCATCAAGTTTTGGTAACAGGTGATACATTGCAGAATGAGTTTGAAAGGGTTTCTTTCCATTTTAATTCATGGAATAGTTTGAGGAGCATTGGTGGTAGTTCTTTAAAAATCTGGTAAAAATTCATCAATGAATCTGTCTGGTTCTTATACTGTTTTGTTGGGAAACTCTTTATTACTGCTTCAATCTCATTGCTTATTATTGATCTATTTAGATTTTTTATGTCCTATTGGTTCGATTGTGGTAGGTAATCTGGGCCTAGAAATTTGTTAATTTCTTCTAGAATTTCCAGTGTATTGGTATATAGTTTTACTCAATATTGCTAATGATTCTATGAATTTCAGTGATATGTGTCATATTATCCTTTTTTCATCTCTTTATTTGTTTGGGTTTTCTTTCTTTTTTTTTGTTTGTTTAGCTAAGTATTTGTCAATTTTGTTTATCTTTTCAAAGAATCACCTTTTAGTTTAATTGATCTTTTCTACCCTTTATATTCATTTATTTCCTGTTCTGATATTTATGATTTATTTCCTGCTACTGATTTTGAATTTGGTTTGCTCCTGTTTTTCTAATGCCCTGAGAAATATCATTAGATTATTTGTGTTTGCTGTGGTGATTTTTTTAATGTATGTACTCATAGTTATAAAATTCCATCTTAGTACTGCTTTCATTATACTTCTGAAATGTTGGTAATTATGCAACACTGGCTGAGTCATAAAGAATTGAGTGTATGTCTTAGTTGTGATTATTGATCCTGAGTATATCTTAGTTTAAGTTTCCTATGTTGTGAAACAGGAATATTTGTTTCTTTGAGAATTTGATAAAAGTAATCCTGAGTGATTCATTTCAGATTATAATGACAGCTTTTATTATTGCTTAAGTTTTTGTTTTTATTTATTTTTAAAGTTTTTGGTACTAGGGATTGAACCTAGGAGTGCTTTACCACTGAGTTACCTTTCCTATTACCCCCTCTTTTTTAAAACAAATTTTGTTTGGATTGACCCCAGGAGCATTCAACCACTTAGCCACATCCCCAGCCCTTTTTTATATTTTATTTAGAGACAGGGCCTCACTGAGTTGCTGAGGCTGACTTTGAACACTCGAGCTTCCTGCCTCAGTCTCATGAGTTACTGGAATTACAGGTGAGTGACACCATGCCTGGCTGGTGGTTTATTTTTTCTTTCTTCCTTTTTTTTTTAGTTGCAGTCGGACCCATTATCTTTATTTTATTTTATGTTTCAAATTTTTTCTATGTGGTGCTGAGGCTTGAACCCAGGGCCTCACATGTGCTGAGCAAGTCCTCTGTACCGCAGTCTGGCTGGGCACAAAATCATGAGCCACTCAAGCAGGAACAAACTTTATTTCCAAAACTCCCCTGACTACCATGCAAGCTGCCTTCTCCCGGACACACCACACCAACAGGAAATCCCTCCTCCAGAAATCCATCCTACCACACTTCCCGAACCAATGGGAACTCTCCGGGACTCCCCCCCCCCCAGCTCCAAAGTAGCAGGCCAAGGCGGACAGCAGGGGTCTAATCTCCAATTGAATACACATCTTAACATAACCATTATCATCTCAATGGCTTGCTGGATTCACCTTTCAACCAAAAATGCCATGCGTCATTCCTACTCAGCTATGGCTCTCAGCAGCTCTGCTCCCATGCTTCAGTCCCAGCCCCTGGTGGCTTATTCTTAACAAGAACGGACATAGTAGCCATTGATCTTGATCGAGGCGAGAACCCTTATTTTGTAAAAGAGGGTGATTTCCTTTGGTTGTGTTCTTCCTGTGAATGTGCTGTAAGGGTCCGGCGGAGCGTCGGAGGGAGAGACCACACAAGAGACCAGCCTCATGCAATTGCAGGGGGAAGTTTTATTGAACCAGCATGCTGGGGCTCAAGGCTCACTCAGGAAGGGAGAGCAGCCCAGAGCCCAGAGCAGAGGTCAAGCAGAGCTTAAGTACACTTTTTGGAGAGGGTGGGGGGCTTTGCATACATCAGAACAAATCACCTTGAGGCG